CCCTCGTCATCTTATGCTCCTTTCAGAGGCTGGTCACCGAGTCCCCAAAGGGAAAGCTAAAAACCGCGGCTCCTGGTGGTGAAGCCGCGTCCCAAGGAACTGTCAAAGAACTTCCCTCGACTCAAAGACTCGACGAAGACCGTTCCGACTTTCCAGTCGTTTCGGAAAGTCATGAGACTGTTTCCGCCGACATCACTGTACACGTCGATAATTACGTCGTCACTGCCCTCGTTGACACCGGTGCCAATTATTCGGTTATGAGCAGCGCCTTGGCATCCCAACTGAGAAAGGTGACTACTCCTTGGCAAGGACCCCCACTTGCGCACGGCAGGGGGCCACCTCGTCACGCCAACTGGAATGTGCACAGCCTGTGTTCGAGTCCGTGCTTCGACGTTCACAGGGTCTTTCCTCGTATTACCTGTGTGCTCCCGTCCACTCATTCTGGCACTGGACTTTCTTCGTGAACACTGCGCAATTATTGACCTACGAGAGTTGCATGTGTCCTTCGAGGACCCATTTCATCCTGAACCTAAAAACACCCACTTATCGAAGGCTGCCCTACGTGTATCCTCCGAATCTGTTACTATGCCTCCCCGCAGCAGCCTCTTTATCAATGTTGAATGTGACCAAGACGTCCTCGATGCTGTAATTGCAGAAGAAAATTTGTCTCTACTTTTTGCACAACAAATCTGCGTTGCCCGAGGTATTGTTCAGCCCAGGAGGAAGCAGGCTTGCCCTTTTTGTATATTTTTCTATACCTGCATGTTACGTCGGTAGGAAAAGTTTCTACGACGCTGAAGTTTGTGATGTATATGATATAGCCTTCATCAAGTGTGTTGTATGAAGCTATTCTACCATGCCAATCGCTGGTCACTACTGCGTAAACCTTAATTAACTTACCTGTTGGATTGGTCCTCTGTTAAAAACTGCCTGTTGTGTTGTCTTTCTTGATTTCATTTTGTTGTGCTTGTGTCAACAAGTGAAGTGTATTTCTTTACCCCACCCTGTAACGGCCTTTGGCTAACAGTATCAATAAATAAATAAATAGTCACGAATTTCAGCGAGGATCATCGCCATCTTACCAAACACACTGCGATCGCATACCTTGAGGATATTGCTGACGTCCCTGGCCCCTCAACATTATCTGCTCTTTCATCGTGCGACGTAAACCAGGATCTACCGTCCGCACAACGGGAACGTCGTTTGAAGCTACTCGACCCATTTCGGAACTGCTTCGCTATGACTTCGAAAGTGAACGAAACACCGCTTGCCAAGCATCATATCATCACCGAGCCTACCGAGAGACCGATTCGACAGCACGCCTACAGAGTCTCGCAAAAAGAACAAGACAATATACGCCAACAGGTCCAGCAGATGCTCAAGGACGACGTCATCCAGCCATCGACCAGTCCGTGGGCGTTCCCTGTTGTGTTAGTAAAGAAAAAAGATGGTACCCTGCAATTTTGCGTCGACTACCGAAAATTGAATAAGATCACGAAGTAAGACGTGTATCCTTTACCATGAATAAATGACTCGCTGGACCGTATTCGCAATGCTCGTTACTTTTCTTCCATGGATCTACGCAGCGGCTATTGGCAAATTTCTGTTGATGAGCGCGACCACGAAAAGACCGCCTTCATTACTCCTGACGGACTCTACGAGTTCAAGGTCCTTCCCTTCGGCTTATGCTCGGCGCCAGCTACTTTTCAAAGAATGATGGACACGGTTCTTTCTGGGCTAAAATGGCAATTGTGTCTTGTCTACTTTGACAATGTGGTCGTCTTCTCGGACACGTTTGAGCAGCGCGTCCAGCACTTACAGGCAGTTCTTCAGGCGATTCGAACAGCTGGACTTTCTCTCAAACCTGAGAATTGCCCCTTTGCTGTCGAGGAACTGAAGTTTCTTGGTCACGTTGTCAGCCACGTCGGTATACACCCAGATTCTGAGAAAACGAAAGCTGTTGCCGCATTTCCTGTCCCAATGAACAAGTGCGATCTCCGCCGATTTCTGGGACTGTGCGCATATTACAGACGCTTTTTCAAAGGCTTTTCTAAAATCGCTGAACCGCTAAATGAACTTACAAAAGACGGCGTACCGTTTGTTTGGGGTTATGATCAGCATCACGCCTTTGACACGCTATGAAAACATTTCCAAGCCCCACCTGTACTCGGTCACTTTGACGACAACGCTGCCACAGAGCTACACACGGATGCCAGCAACGTCGGACTTGGAGCTGTCCGACGTTTCAATGGCAAAAAGGCGTAGAGCGCGTGATTGCCTATGCAAGTCGAACACTATCATGCACAGAGAAAAACTACTCTGCAACAGAAAAAGAATGCTTAGCCGTTGTTTGGGCTATAACAAAGTTTTGCCCTTATTTGTACGGTCGACCATTCAGGGTAGTTAGCGACCACCATTTTTTATGCTGGCTCGCCAACCTCAAAGATCCTTCCGGTCGTCTAGCACGGTGGAGCCTTCGGCTGCAAGAATTTGACGTTACAGTCATTCACAAGTCAGGACGCAAACACACTGATGCTGACTGTATCTCACGTGCGCCGATTGGAAGTACGAACACGGGCGTTCAAGAGGACGATACATTCCTTTCCTCTGTATCAGCAACCGACTTGGCTCAACAACAACGCGAGGACATGCAGCTAAGCCCGCTGATTGACTACCTCGAAGGCCGAAAACGCAGCCTTCCTCGAAACTTTGCACAAAACTTCGGGTTGTGGTTGCCACCGATTATTTAATGAGTTACAGCGAAACAAAGGCCCTGCCCAAAGCTACAGCAGCCTAAATCGCCCAGTTTTTTATCACCAGCATCGTACTTTGTCACGGTGCGCCAGCTGTGATAATTACTGATTGTGATACAGCTTTCATCGCAGAGATGCATCAAGAAGTGCTGAGACTAAGTGGTACAGAATATTGGAAAACCACGGGCTATCCCCCCAAACAAACAGACTCACTGAAAGGTTGAACAAGACCATTGAAGATATGCTGTCAATGTATGTGGCCCTTGATCACAATAACTGGGATGATATACTCCCTTACGCAACTTTTGCTTACAATACAGCAGTCCAAGAGAGTACAGGTTTCACCCCATTTCGCTTAGTTCATGGTTGAGAGGTCACTACAATGCTCAACGCAATGCTCCTTCCCAACAACCTGGGCATGTTCAACGCGGACGCTGCCCTGTTCGCTCAACGCACCGAGGAGGCCTGTCAACTCGCCCGACGCCGTATTCAGGCTCACCAAACTGCGGACGCACGCCGCTACAACCTTACACACCGAGAGGTTACCTTCCAACCAGGCGATGAAGTTTGGGTGTGGACTCTCATCCGATAGCGTGGTCACTCTAAAAAGTTGCTGCGGCGCTACTTCGGCCCGTACAAAGTTCTACACCGACTCAGTGACGTTGCATACGAAGTTCTCCCGAGAGCACCTCAAGACGTTCCCGTCGGTTTCCACAAAGTGATGTGGTGCTTGTGTCTGTCAAGGCTCAAGCCATATTTTTCGCGTCATCAATCGAACGTGGACTGACTTACCATGCAATGACCATTTTTTTGTCACTTTTGTTTCTTTTTGATTGTCTTGTGTCCTAACTCCTTTCTTTATTGAGTACTATGACACCAGCCCATTTTTTTTCCTTACGACGCACTTGTTGGATTCCATGGTAGCATCTTTTTTTTTTCATTTTTTTCCTCAACCCTCACTACCAGCATCGAGACGATGTTTTTCGAGGAGAGGGAATAATGTCACAGGTAATGGGTATGAGCCATCAACTGTAGCGTGAAATTGCTTGGAAGTGAAGAAAAGAAGAGGCCTTTGCTTCCTGGTCTGGGGGGCGAGCAAGACGTCGATTCGTTGCTGTCTGTTATTTCGTTCGTGGCAATATGAAATTGCGTTGACGTAATAGACATTTCTTTATTGCTTTCTTGATACTTTCGATTATTTGGCATTCTGTCAGTTCGGAAATTTTTTTCCAGTATCATGAAATCCAAATGAACGAGCTTTTACTGTACTGCTACAACTTATTGTAATGAAGTTACGAGGCTTGGCTTAAGTCATTTGATTAATCTACGATAGGTTCGTAAAGCAGTGCATGGCATAATTGAAGCAGGGCCTAAACCCTTGAGGTGCGCGCTGTAGTGGACTACATGAAAATGTGTCAAACTCGTGCAACATAATTTCAAGGCACTCGGTATTAGATCCCAAGAAAGAAAATGAGATGAGAAAATGAATGAGTTTGAGTAACTATGTGCAATTAGCATGCAATCAATATCATATTTATTCTGCACTCAGTCAGCTTTAATTGTTACATAAAAGAATTAAATTTTATGGACTTTTCGGTTCTTTACACATAAGGGACCGAGAAGTCTTCAAAATTTCTGTTTATTTTACCTTGCTCAGTGAATTTTGTTTTAGTCCACTACATAGGTTGGCAAAAATTGTGGAGCTCACTCAAACTCGCTCATTAAATATATTTTGCACTTGGGACTCACTCAGAAAAATTTTCCTGAGCCGGACTCACTCAAACTCGCCACTCGCTAAAATTTTCTGTACCAAAAAACTTAAAATTTTTTTTGCATTTTACCTTGGTCAGTTTTTTGTTTTCTTCCTCTGTTTTTCCCCGACCAGACGAGATTCCGTCAAACTGTTGACTATACTGTATATGTTTTGTTACGATACTTCGCTGTATTGGGATTCACCCGTTGCGTTCGTTGCTCTAGTAGTTGTAGTGCGCAACTGTTGATGCAAAGGTCGTGGAATCGAATCCCAACCTCGGTGGGCACATTTTCCGTAGAGGCTAAAATGTCCGAGGTCACTGTATTTAGTGGCATTAGGTAGACGAAATTTTCGAAGCCCTTCGCTATGGTGTCCTTCATAATCATATCGTGGTTTCGGGACGTTATGCCCCAATAGTTGCTATCCTTCATCGAATTGCAAGTCAAATGTGTCCCCACATTGTTGTGACGCCTTAACTTTCTCTCTGTTTTTAGGTTACAAAGCAGCATCCTCTGTATTGTAGAGGACCAAGAATAGCGACTCCAGGAACCTGTGAAAGTCGTGGAAGGTGCCAGTGCATATGCAAAAGAGGCTGCTGACAAAACCACATGGTGTGCAGGCATCTATCAGACCAACATGTACTCTCCAACGGTCTCCTGTTGGATGCAATCCCACGATCTCGAAGACAGCGACAATATTTCTTGATCGTCGGAACCGCTGTCCCAAGGTGTAAGTGCACCACTTTGCATCTTCAAATCAGCAGCATCTGAAAGTGCCTTGAAGTTCCAACACCTGAAAAGCCCCCATTGGTGATGTTGGGCCTCCTCTGTAGTGGAATGAAAGCTAATCTCTGGCTTAGTGCTGTATGTGTGGTGTTGCGGAGCCAAACAATACCTCCCCTTGAAAATTGAAATGTTTTCAAGACCTATGGAGCGCAGAATGATGACATAAAACCAGCAGCCCCATGTACTTCCACACACACTGCGAGCAATATACAGTAGACTCGCAATAATTCTAACTCTGATAATTCATACTTTCGGTTCATTCTAACAAAACAAAATTTTTTTGTTGCCCTCTATTCTTTCAATGTATTTAAAAGCCTCTTAATTCAAACTTAATCATTTGGTTAATTCATACTTTTTGCACTTCCCTATCAGAAAATATGTGCTGCTTTTCCACTACTATTTAAAAGTTTGCGTGTTTATATTCCCAACAGTCTAAATATGAGAAATAAGCACCTCAGGGCTTCAAGGAGCAACGCTTTGCTTGTAAACAAATGTTTGAAGCGAAGCACATGCATGGTCATAGGCGTACCAGCCGGGGGAGGGGGGGGGTGAAAAGAGAAAAGTTAGGGGGGGGGGTGAGCCTGCCCACATTTGGTAGTGGTCACTCTTGCTGCACGCTGGGAAAACCAAGCAAGGCGAAATTTTTCGCCACAACAGTAATCACTAAATTTTTTCTTACGGGAGAATGAAAATGTTACGAGGTAATGTTATAACATAGTGAAATTTTGCCAACATTTACTCTGTGATGATTTTTCTTGTGGGCTCTTCGCGGTGCGGGTCTCCTATGCGACGCCTTTGCATCTTGTGCTGTAGTATTGCAGAGCAGGCAAGGGCTGAGCAGGGGCCCTATAATATTATACTACTTCATCTTTTTATTCTGCTGTGACTTGTTGATGAATTATCAAGAATCGACTGTATCTGCACTAACACGGCGACTTCGCTGCCACCTCTAGGTCGATTTCATGGCTAATAGTTATTCAGTTTATCTGTGTCTTCGTGGTAAGTCGTAATGGTATTCCAAATGTGCTGTTATTGTTACAGTCAGTGGTGAAGCTAAAGTTGTTTCATAAAGCTGGGATTGTCACGCGAGTTGAAGAATGCCTCTTGCGTGCACTATTTAGTTAGTGTGTCATTATGCGGGATACATGCACAAATTCTACAAATTCTACGATAACTGTGCATATCCAAGGTTAGTCTTCAGCAGAAAGTACTACACTTGCTGAATTGAAGTGTTTGCTGGGATTCGCAAAATTGTTTTCGAATTTCACTGCGGATGTGGCAGCAATTTCTTTCTCTCAGTGCCATGAAATGCCCCTTCGGATTGGTCGTCCCACCCACAGTGGTTATGGGGCCCGGCTGCTGACCCGAAAATTGCAGGTTCAATCGTGGCTGCAAACAGTTGCATTTTCAATGGAGGCTAGCTGGAGGCCCGTTTACTTGGATCTAGTCGCACATTCGAGAACCGCAGGTGGTCGAAGTATCTGGAGCACTCCACTATGGCGTGCCTCCTAATTGTATTATGGTTTAGCTAGTGAAACTCCAGAAATTATTATTAATTACTCTCTCTCGGACTGTGTACGCTCTTGTACCAGTCTGCCAGCTTTGACAGCACCTTTGCATCTGAAAACTTTGACAACAGTTCAGAAATGACACAGACAAAAAGAAGTATTACAGCAGCACTGAACTTCTGAAATAAATGATAATAAAAATACAAGCACACTTAAATACTGACGACCTGTCGCAAAAGTGGCCACTTTACATGTGAGGTCAGAAGGCACCATTTTTAATCCTAGAAACGAATACCAGGCATGGAAAATTCCAATCACTTTCATGTGAGCAGCCACAAAGAAGGTTGCTGTGGTCCCGAACCTCATTATCATGCCACGCTATGGAGGGAGAGCTGATGCACTGATCACTTCGTTTCTCACCATATCAATCTTTTTTTTGTGGCTGTTCACGTGGAAGGGATGAGAATTTTCATGTTTTTTAGTTTATCAGATTCAGAATGGTTCCTCCAGATGATGTGCGCTAAGTCCTCACATGCATTAGCCTGTTGTCAGCTATTAAGTCTGCTTCAATGTAAAGATATTTAGCTGCTAGTGAAGAACTCTTTTCTTGCCTGTGTCGTTTATACACTGCCTTCAAGATATTAAAGAACTATCACCAACTTGCTCAGCTATCAATTCTTCTACAACACCTTTGCAGCGTAGCTCATTCAGACTTCTGGCTTCTTTCAGCAACGCCTCTAGTCTTGGAATATCCAACACGGACCAGCAGTCGAATGGAGGAATATTGAAATGGTGATGGCATCACAGATGGTGATGATGAGTGCAGACTGACAGCAAGCTCACCTTTAATGAAGAAGGAGAGAAAAAGGCCCTGCCACAGTCAATCGAGAGCCCGCACTTGTCATCGTCAGTGATAGCGCACTGTGCTCATGGAGGTTTCAAGATCTGGAGGCTTTGAACTTATGACAGTGCTGTGACCTTTCCAATGCAACCTGTGCCTACAGACGATTGTATATTGAAATAGTCTTCTCGCGTTTTACATTGACACAGCCTAAGGAAAAGTGCCGATTCTGCGAGCACACACTTGCTTGCAATGGTCCTTTTCAGCAAATAATTAGCAAATAAATGAGTCGGAAGCTCGCATCTATCGGTAGATTGCATGGTGTTGTGTCAGATTTCTTGCTCTATTTTCGATAAAATTAATTTTGCCATTCTTTCAACCCGCAATCCTGCCTTGCAATCCTTTCATCCCTCTTGACTAGCCTCAGCTGGTCTCCGAGTGCAGGACTGGACTGCACTGCCTTTCACATAAATCTGCTGATAATCTCTTCCTGCCCTTCGGTGCTAGCTGTGCATTCCCATGTGCTGTGGTTCGGTGTCAGTGTGCTCTCACTCCGCCGGCATATGTATTCGTATTCTGTTGGGTAATACGTATGTAATCTGTGGATGTTTGTGTGTCTGTATGGTGCCAACGCCGCAGAATCCACGGCCGAAAGGTACTTGTGTGGTACTGGGTGGAGCCTCAGCTATTCTCAGTAATATTGCAGGATCGCCTTTTAACTGTGATCGATGGTCGTTAGGTTCTCCACGGTGTTAGACTGAAGCGTGCAGAACTTTAGCATTGAGAAGCCGAAGCTAGATCGCATTCATTGCTTCGCCTCTTTGGCGAAACTGTGACTTTTTTTCTCGAATACTAACCACCTACGATATATTTTAGCAGTCCATTGTACAATTTTATGTGCGGTACTTCTTGTAGGAAGTTTTATTATGCAGAAGCGATACACTCAAACCCCGATATAACAATCCAGGATATAACAAATTATAGGTTATAAGGAAGTAGATGAAAAATAGTCTTGCCATAGATATAGTGTTAGGAATAAACCTGCATAACGAATGTTTAGATATAACAAATTTATTTTTGTATAAGATGCAACTTTGTTATAATGAGGTCTGGGGTATGAGACAAGGGGGCATTAGATTTATGCGGCATGCATAAAACATGACGAGTTAAGCTATTAATTCATCCACTTTTCTCTTGTGGTTACAGGCACCGTCACATAAAAGCACAGCCTCATGTGATGCACCAGAATGCCTTTAAAGTGCCTGCTGTGATAACGTGATTTTTTGATATTGAGGTTCTCCCCACCACAAACATAGGCTCCATAAAAACCACCCACCACCACTTGGCCAATGCGGTGGGCGCACTGTGAGAAACGAGCCGTTTTAATGGTCAACTAAGGTCAACACATCCTTTGTTTTGTAAAATGGTGGCTAACTTCAGAGGAATACCTTCGAGCTTTCCAAACTCTGTATATTTACAAATCACCCCATGCCCCATAGAAACGAGGAAAAAGGCAAGGGCAAGAGATTTTTGGCTCACGCGCCTGTCATCTTTGTAGAGGAAGCATTGACTTAGATTTAGGTGCATATGTGAAAGGACCACATGTGGCAGAAATTTCTGTACCCTTTCATTCCGACGTCCCTCATGATTATCTGGTTTTCGGACATCAAACCCCAACAATCATATTGTATACTTGACTTAATTGGTTGTGTCTGACAAGGTGCATTGCAGTATTTTCAGTCACCCTGTAGATGCTGATGCCTCCTTACTTTCAATGGATAGGGTTCAGGCATACTTGTTCCCAGTTCAACTAGTGAAATAGGGCTTTAATGATTATTACGTTCTTGGATGCTTTATATCATGCTGCGATCAGGTTGTATTGCTGGCACAATCAACTGCAGTTTTTCAAGGGAACCGTTTTGTGCAGCGTGACCAGTCTACATTTTGTGAGAAGGGCATGTCCAAAGCAACAAACGCTAACATGACATCGATAGTTGGATGGAAATATGTCTGATCAAGAACAGACAAAGACAAAACAAGACATTTCGGCCCCTGTACGGAAAGCTTGTTCACAGCGAAGAAAAAATAAAACGAAAAGTTGGCCCCGTATCTGCATTTAACCTGCAAATGTCGTCGAAAGACGATACTCTTAAGTGTGGAGAGAGTGAAGAAAACATTTATTTTATGTCCTGCTCAAGAAAATCGGTGAATGGTATTCTGGAGTGCTGCGTTAGAGTGCCTCGAGCGTGCAGCGGAGGCGAACGAGCGCATCGAGTCACGTCACACGTGAGACATGAGTGCCATCTGGCAGTTTTTTTTCAAAAACAAAGCGCGTAGCTCTGAGACGGGTGTGCGCGCTCGTCTCAGAGGTGATAAGGTGTAGAACACAAGGCGACGGGTAGGTGCCACCACCGTGTTGCTTTAGCAAAGCGCTGGAAACACCCGCCTTTCCGTGCAAGCGTAGCATGGTCAGCGCAGCATGATAAGCGCTACGGTCCTTAAAATGACCTATGTATGCCTTTTCTAGTAAAAGGCGCACATGCAGAATATATACGTGTTGTTATGGTGCCCCAGATATGCGCAATAATTGCTTTTTAATCGACAATCGCACAAATATGAACGCTGAAGCTTGAGCAACATAGGTGGGCGATGCGGATGAGGTCGGCCGTTTCGAATACTCGATGTTGTTAAGAGTGGACTGACAAATAGACAGACATACCAAAAATTTTGCGTCGAAGGTCCCCAAGAAAGACTATCGTCTTTAAAACGGTGCACCTATCCAGGCCCTGTTTGCAAATCTGCTCTGTGTTGAGGTACTGTGGCAGAGATGATTTGCCCCTCGCATGCACTTGTTTAAAATTTCGGCAGCTGTACAAACAAAATGACATATGATCAGAGGGCATAGATGCATATAATTACTGCATGTAAACTGGCATTCACAAAATTTTCTGCTTTCCAGAGGTTCTTGCAGCATTTTATAGTCTTAATAACAGTGAAGTTTAGGTTCTGTGTATTTATATGTGGTGCATACCACAGCCCGAGATATGAAGGTACACACAACACGTGAGAATACAGAGTCCTAAACTCTGTTACAGCTGAAATAGGTTGCCAGTTGCGGCATAGTATAATAGCTATGCAAGCTGTTGAAGACTGCAAACTTCTCCAAGCACACACCACTGCCAAAAGGTGCAACTTGCAGATTTCAAGAGAGCTTGTGCTTCATTTAAAATGAACTGATACAAATTATTTTACGGAGCTTTGCTGGTCATGCACCTTCAGAGTGTGTGATGGCTACCATTTTTTTAGGGCTAAAGCTTCTAACAGCGACACCAGTTCGTCCCTCGTAGCTTTGTAGTACTGCGTAACAAGTATAACATTTCTACCTCCAAGGTGGTGCCGGTGAGAGATTACTTCTGTGCGTTGTTGAATAATAAAAGATAGTGCTCAATGTACATGCCAATGGCTGCTAAGGGGGAATGAGAGACAGGAGAATTAGGCTTTTAGTTAACGAGCACGCTGCGAATTTTTTTATTGTTCAACAACGCACAGAAGACAAGAAAGGGTTGCTACGTTACACTCGCTGGGCGTAACCTCCTAGGTTTTAGAAAGGTTTCGCGAGGTTGGGCCGCAGTGCCATGAATACAGTGAACTAGTATATACCATGAACTCGAGGTGGTTAAAGGTGGGAAGTAGACACGAAGCGCAAGCGGTAAGAAAGTGTGCGTGTGCCTCCTCTCGTTCAGTCCTTGGAATGTCCGCTGGATGAGGGCGCTTCTATATGAGGAATATATGATGAAAAGATGCGAGATGGTGGTACTTGGAGTGTTGAATAGGTGGACGAACGGACACACAGACAGATGCATGGACGGACGTACGGATGGCTGCACGGACGGATGGACGCAGGAGTGGATGCATGGACGAAAGCAGGGACGGACGCACAGATGAACGTGCGGACGCACGAACAGACGCACGCACAGGCGGCCACTACAGACGCACGCATGGATGGACGGATGCAAGAACGAATGGACGAACGGATGCTTCGCCCCACTATCCATCATTCACTCCGTGGATATGCTGCCATTTTTTATGGCTCCATATATGTAATCTACATATCATGTATTGTTTGTAACACCAAGTGTTATTGGTTGAAAGGCATAATTCAAAAAGCATCTAGCTAGCTCAAACAGCAAAGGTGTTTGAGCTAGTCGCAATGTCTGACCCTATCGAAAAATACTTCGGTGCGTCGTTGCCTGGCAACCCTTCGCCTTGCGCAAGTGGTGTGACGTCATGTCGAACCGTGCGTGTTTGTGCGCGCCGTGTCGAAAGAGTTGCTGCCATGGGTCGCCACAAGAAGGTACGCACTCCCGAGGAGGAGGCCGCGTTTCGCGAGGCGAGACTCGCCGCTATGCGGGAGAGACAACGGCAACGACAGGCCGACCCCGAATATGCAGCCAGAGCTCTCGAGAACAAGCGGCGTCGACGATCCCGATTATGCTAGGCGTGTGCGAGAACGGATTACTGCGTACCAACGGATGCGGCGCCAGGACCCAGTCATTAGGGAAGCAGAGTGCGAGCGACGCCAGCCCGTGACCACACGCTGGCTAAGTTCAACCACAATGTAGGAAAACGGGAGACTAACCGGCTTCGTTGTGCTTGTCGCGGCACTCCGTTGCAGCAACTGCGCACTTAGATAAAAAACAAAATGCTGCTAACGCGAAACTGTCAGCCTCGCCTTGTCAGATGAAGTTTGTTGCGCTTAGAAATCCGCAAAGCGTCAGCCTTGATTCGAGGCACCGACTCCGCCGAGCTCGGCAGGTAGCCGCCTTTTGTTGCATTTTACAAAACCCTGTGTTACAAAACCCTGCGAACAACGTGGTTTGCACCGCTCATCATCGGTACGCAAACGCGTAATTTTGTTTTTACTGCGCGAACAGGCGAAACAGGCGCGCGGGAAACGTGGTACTGTGCAAGAAAACAAAAATATAAATAAGTGCAAAGTTTTTTTTTCCATGGACGGCTTCTCATTCTTTAGTTTTGTAATAAGCGATGTTTTATTAGTCCGAGCTAGGCAACTCCGAAGATTGAAAAATAAAAATGCTTCGCGCGCGCGACTGAGGCGGGTGATTTGAAATCGGTTGTGTAGATAGGTTTTCTCTGGTGGCTCGTGCAGCCGTTCTCTGACAGCACTGCTAAGTCGCCGAGTGTATCAGGGCATAGAGTTTCATACAGTATTATTGTATAAAACTCTATGGTATCAAGGAGTGCGCCCGATCGTGCCTCGGCAAGACATGGGGTGGGTAACCCGCAAAAGTGCGAACCGCCGAAGAAGTGGCCGCTTATCACGAGGCTCAACGTGCTGCGAAACGGGAG